AATTTGCATGGATACCAGAAGCATATTTGAACAAAGACATATTTTAAGCAAAGTTAAACTATACAGTACGCCCATCCCCTAACACAGGTTGGGTGTCTTACATCTAGATATCTTTTTCTTCCCCGAACACATATCTACAAATCACCAAACCGTCCTCTACATTCGGCTGCACCGCTTCCTGTATGGGAATTTGCATGGATACCAGAAGCAGCCACCTACTTGAACAAAAACAGATTGTAAGCAAAGTTATACACTACGCCCATCCTCTAACACAGGTTGGGTGTGTTATATCTAGATATCTTTTTCTTCCACGATCACATCTACAAATCACAAAACCGTCCTCCACGTTCGGCTGCGCCGCTGCCTGTATGGGAATTTGCATGGATACCAGAAGCAGACACCTATTTGAACAAAAAAAGATTGTAAGCAAAGTTGAACCATACACTACGCCCATCCCCTGGCTCCACCCCTCCTGCGATGAGAAGCTGTCCACTATGGAGTCTAGCAGCTGACCCTTCCGCAGCTCTGCGCCGTCGCGACGCCGCGATAATCCCAACTTCGCGCACAGCTTGCGCAAGTCGGCCGCGCTCTTTGCCTCCAGCTCGGCGCGCAGCCACGGCGCGCCTCCTGCAGGGGCTGTACCTCTTGCTCCTGCTGCACCGCTTCCTGTATGGGAATTTGCGTGGATACCAGAAGCACACACCTGTTTGAACAACAGCAGATTTTTAAGCAAAGTTGAACTATACACTACGCCCGTCCCCTATAACACAGGTTGGGTGTCTTACATCTAGATATCTTTTTCCCCAAACAGGTTTACCTGTGAGGGGTTCTTACTCCTTTTAAAGGGGTGTAGGAAATACTGCTGGCCATATTGTTCGGAGATCTCATTTTTGAACATTGCTCTGTTTGGGGTCTACGCTGGTATAATTCTTCCCCGAACACATCTACAAATCGCAAAACCGTCCTCCACGTTCGGCTGCGCCGCTGCCTGTATGGGAATTTGCATGGATACCAGAAGCAGCCACCTACTTGAACAAAAACATATTGTAAGCAAAGTTATACACTAAGCCCATCCCCTAACGCCACCCCTCCTGCGAGAAGCTGTCCACTATGGAGTCTAGCAGCTGATCCTTCCGCAGATTTGCGCCGTTGCGCTGCTGCGATAGTCCCAACTTCGCGCACAGCTTGCGCAAGTCGACCTTGCACTTTGCCTCCAGCTCGGCGCGCTCCATCTTGCAGGCGCTGTACCTCTTGCTCCTGCTGCACCGCTTCCTGTATGGAGATTTGCATGGATACCAGAAGCAGACACCTAGTTGAACAAAAACAAATTGTAAGCAAAGTTGAACTATACACTACGCCCATCCCCGAACACAGGTTGGGTGTCTTATATCTAGACATCTTTTTCTGCCCTGAACACATCTTTACATCGCCAAACCGTCCTCCAGATTCGGCTGCAGCGCTGCCGCCTGTTGGCATTTTGCATGGATACCAGATGGGAATTTGCATGGGTACCAGAAGCAGACACCTATTTGAGCAAAAACAGATTGTAGCAAAGTTGAACTATACATTACGCCCATCCCCTGACTCCACCCCTCCTGCGATGAGAAGCTGTCCACTATGGAGTCTAGCAGCTGATCCTTCCGCAGATTTGCGCCGTCGCGACGCTGCGCTAGTCCCAACTTCGCGCACAGCTTGCGCAAGTCGGCAGCGCTCTTTGCCTCCAGCTCGGCGCGCAGCCATGCCGCGCCTCCCTCGCCGTGCCCCTCTCGCAGGCGCTGTACCTCTTGCTCCTCCACGGGGAAGTGGTAACGTTCTTCACTCTAAATGTAGTGAACCAACCCCATCTCGCATGCGCTGTACCTCTTGCTCCTGACCTACGAACGAACGAAACGTCTAGTTGTCGGTGATATATATATATATATACATACGGTTTCTGCGACTCACGTAAATCCCCAGCCCGTCCTCCGAGTTTCGCAGAACGGCGTCCTGCTCACACATCTTTTTCTAGACCGAACAAACTGACACCTATACACACATCTTGTTCTAAACCGAACACACCTACAAATCACAAACCCGTCCTCCAGAGCAGCCATGGTCAGTGTGCCTATTTACGAGATGGGGTGTGTTGAAACTTCTTGCAAGTACATTCTTCATTGCTGTTGACTTCCTTTATGTTCCTGGCTACGATCTGGTGCTAGCTGGTCCAAGTTCTATGGAGACTTGTGCCATCTCACTTTGGGCACCAAAAGGTAAGCTATGCAAAACGCACAAATGCATGGCAACCACACCGCTCTCCAGGTAACGTTTTCTTCACTTGAGATGTAGTTCATCAACCACTGCACTGGTCATTTTCTCATCGACTGTCCCAAAAAAAACCGTGCCAAAGTAGCTTCCGGTGACACGCAGCAGCCATTGCCTATATCTTTGCGTGCTCTCTCTGCTCAGCTCGCCACTAGCCTGTGTATACGGAAAAGATTCCCCGAAAATATGTCTAGCAACGTCCTTGTTGTCCTTCCGCCGAACGACGTCCGCCTTGAACGACTCGGTGTCACTCCAGGTCTGATGTGAGTTTTGTGTTAAGTAAGACGTGTTCAGTCTAGTGTGTCGAGTCCGTGTGTGGGTCTCTGTGTGTGTCTATGTGTGTATCTGCGTCTGTGTCTCTGCATGCACAGGAAGGGACAAATCGCACTCTCGCCTGCATTTCGCGTTCTCGACACGCACGATCTCCGCAGAGGGCGAAATGCAGGCGAGAGGGCGATCTGTCCGGCGCGCGCGCGCAACACTCTGCGGAGATCGCGCGTCTCGAGCGCGCGAAATGCAGGCGAGAGTGCGATTTGTCCGGCGCGCGCGCAACCCTCTGCGGAGATCGCGCGCGCCGAGCGCGTGAAACGCAGGCGAGAGTGCGATGTGCGCGCGGAACCTTCTGCGGAGATCGCGCGCGTCGAGAGCGCGAAATGCAGGCGAGAGTGCGATTTGTTCCTTCCCGGCGCAACCCTCTGCGGAGATCGTGCGTGTCAAGTACGCGAAATGCAGGCGAGAGTGCGATTTGTCCGGTGCGCGCTCGACACGCACGATCTCCGCAGAGGGTTGCGCGCGCGCCGGACAGATCGCACTCTCGCCTGCATTTCGCGCACTCGACACGCACGATCTCCGCAGAGGGTTGCATTTTCGGTTGACGCTGTTCGTCCCACCCTCCGCCTTTAAGAGAGAATCTATTAAAGTGGGGAAATGTTTTTCATTAGGACATCTCCCGTGCAAGTTTTCCATACTCACACTTGCATACTCATTGCATACTCATTGGGACATCTCTCGCGCAAGTTTTCCACACTCACACTTGCATTACACTTGCATACTTTTGCACTTGGATACTTGCCGTTGGATGCTTTCACTCTTCCACTTACACTGGGATACGTATAGAAGTGTAAGTGTTCACGTTCAATTGTAAGTGTGGAAGCGTAAGCATTCAAGTGTACGTGTAGAAATGTCAGTGTTCAAGTGCAAGTGTGGAAGTGTCAGTGTGTGAGTGTAAGTGTAGAAGTGTCAGTGTTCAAGAGATTTTCCGGAAGAACCCTTCGCAATGCTTTCGGGAAAATAAATTCAACTTGCAAACTGTGCGCCTCTGCAGCGTCACTCTCTGTTCTGCACCGCCACTGCACTGGTTGTCCTCTATGGTCCTCACGTCCTCGTGAGAAGGTCATCGATGGCACATCCTCATGCCGTCTCAAGCCCAAGCTGTGTGACAGGCTGCCCACCCGCCATGTCCTAGGTCCTAGTGCCCACAGGCTGCATGCCTTGAAGCACGTCGAGAGTTATTTTTGGTGGAACACTTTCGCATTCACAATGTATATAGACACACATGGTCTCTCTCTTTGCAAGCTATGCTGAAGGGCCCCCTCGATCCCAAGCAACTGTCAACAAAAATAGTCAAAAAATGTTGCAAAACAGTGGACTCTGCTTTCGATCCTGTGAGAAAGATCTTTGGATGGGGGTATAGATATATTACAATATGTACACGAGGGCACTGGAAGAGTTGATTGAGGTGTCACCCAGCGTCTGTACTAATTATCGCGAGGTCTATTTCGACGAACCATGTTGGGTTCAGAGGTGTGTTTTTTACAGCGTTTGGTTTTTATGCAGTTTCAAAGCCTCTTTTTTGGGTTATGTGCATTTTTGTTGATGTCATTTTTGTATCGCAGGAAATGCATTGCAAGAAAGGCGCAGGATATTTCAGAAGATCAAGAATATGTTTAAGCATTCAATAAACAACATACAATTTGCAAAGAATCTGCAGACCAAGCGCCGGTCGTGTGGACTTACAACTAAGTCCTCGTAAAGTTGCGTGGTCGAAGAACATATTAGAATAGAATAACTCTTGCATAGCTTGGTAAGTTTAGCATAGCTCAGCATAAGTTCAGCATAAGTTTAGCATGCGTATGCAAGTTATGCTGAGCATGCAGAAAGTTTAGCATATATGCTGAACTTGCTAAACTAAGATAAGAACGAGTTCAGCATATTATGCAGAACTCAGGAAACATATGCTGAACTACTTGCATACACTTTGGGAACTTATGCTGAACTTATGTATCCTTCGCTTTTTTGGTATAAAGGTAGATGAAGTTGGTATGTGGCGTAGTTTGCTTGTGAGGTGACACAACTGCTAGAGTTCTAGAGTAAGTCACGCTCATATTGGGACAGAGTCACATTTTGCTGGAGATCCAGAAGCCAACTTGAGCCAACGTAAACTCGTGACCTCTCGCAGAAAAAAAAGAGTCCCAGCGTCGCCGGTACAACTATTTTTTCATATAAACTCAGCACCGCACATTGCGGACCATCGATTTTCAGGAATCTTCACTTTATGCGTTGGAAAAGCTCTTGCGCAAACACGCTGCCCAAACCGTAAACCCAAATAGGGCTCGTGATAATCAATAAGCGTCTGGGTCTAGGAGGTTTTCTTGCTTCAGCAAGAAAATATATACGTACAAAGTTCAACATACTGACAGGCGGAGCAAGCTCAGCTGATGATGATGGTGTGTGGCCCAAGTTTTTGGTTTACTTTGTATTTTGTGTTTTGAATTCCATGATTGCGCTGCAGCTTGCTACATGCATGATTGGGATGCCTTGTGCAGTTGGACCCAATAGATTGGAATTCCTTTCTTTTGATAGTCATCCAGTGGCAGTGAGTTAACATATTATAATCGGGTACTGTACTTGGAGAGCTACCTGAACTGTTTAATGTTTGCATTCGGCTGACACTGGATTCGCTTGTTCATGTTGATGGGACAGTGTGTCGTCAAAGAAAACATTGTCATTGGATGGCATGTGTTTAGTTGCTCCGATTTTTTAACGTGCATTTGTTTGCTTTTCTTTTCCTGCATTTTTGCTTTTGGTCTTTGCTATGGCTTCTGTTTCTATTTTTCGCCACTGGTGCTTGTTTTTGCTTTTGTTGCCATTGCTTTTCTTCTTTTGTTGCTTCGTTGCCCTTGTTGCTTCTTGTTCCTTTCCGTAAATTTGAGTTTTGCAATGAAATTTGAAAGAGGTGCAAATTTGCGTTGCGTGTGTTGCTTTGTCCTTTTGTTGCTTTTGTTGATTCCATTTCTGTTGCTGTTGTAGCAGGCAACGTTGTCATACCGGATATATATTCTGTCAATGCATGTGGCTTGCCCTGCCTTCTTCCACATCCCAACCCCCTCCAATGCCACGAAATCTGCATTAATTCTTCCACTATGCAGCGCCTGCCACAATTGTTTGTTTGTTTTTTATTCGATCAGGCTGCATTGCACAGACAACACCAACAACACAAACGAAAATCTGCGCCCCTTCTTCCAATGTATTTTGCCTGCCACGACAGCTTGTTTCTCTTCAGTGCCAGCCCTGCTGCCGAAGTCGCTTCTTTAAAGGCCAGCCATGCCGCTTTGTGCTTGCAACATTGCATTTCCTCTTCAAGGACACCCAAACTGCTGCAAATAGCAGCGAACTGTGAGCCTTTTGAAATACATATTCTGAAAAGTAATGACACATACCCAATTTCTGTAATGCCCCACCCATTATCATTTCGCACATGTCAAGAATTGAGATGGAGGCAAAGAGGGCACATGCGCACCAGAAACAATGCATGTTAGAGTTGAAGTCTGTCTGATGATGGATCCAGGTAGGACCAGGTAGAACACTCACCGAAGCCAGAATCTCTTTCTTAGGCGCAGGGTGTTGAAGTGGAGGGCCGCCCGCTGATGCTCGAGTTTCTGCCGGTGAGTGCTTGCCAAGGGTGTAGACCGATGGTGCGTCACTGTATCATGGGCAAGAACACAATGTAGACATTGCATACAAATGTGGTTCCGTATCTCCAACAGTATTCTATACTGTTGAGGCAACGAGATGAACAAAGGCTAGGGTAAAGTAGTTCACCCTATGTGTTTTTCCTTAGTGTGATGCTTTGTTGACTGTATTGTTTCCCCTCAGATGCCACCTTGCTGTGGAATTAGAAAGGCGGTTGCAGCGAAGCCTGAGAAGAAAGCTCGGGAGGTGGCGAATTGGCAGTCTGAAAGTCAATTTGGTCTTCAACACTGCTATAATTATGCACCGTCAGTCCTGGCAAAGCCGGAGGTTTCACGCAGCACTGATCTCATTAAGGCAGGAATGGCGTGGGATGCTTTACATCGAAGAGCCTGTATACTAGGCGTTTAGACCGGGCCTGCAGCAAGCAAATGAAGTCCATACACATACGCGTAGCAAGGTAAGTGGTCTGCCCAAAAAGATGGACAAGAACGAGCTGGTCGAGCGCCAAGTGGGGAAGGGTCAAAATGTGCTTGGGAAGACTTGTCGATACCCCATGCCCATACCAAAGCAATGATGAGTTTACCTCAACGGAGCTTCAGATAGTTAGTAAACTAGGCCACCACAGGGGATAACAGTGTACTGGTAGACAAGAGGAGATGGTGCGCTATTTTGCAGTCTTCGTTGAAGAAAGGAAACATTCCCAACCTGCTTGTACTTGTGAGCGCGGGGCTACCATTCGGGCGGCGGAACCGATTTATGTGGAGTTGAGACGTTGCGAACGCCATGTTTGGGAGACGGAGATGTTTCACAAGCCGAACCATGTCACTCTTCCTGGCAATTTGCTGTGTGATGGATGGCGTGAAGAAAAACCTGGCAGGAGTGAGATTTGCGGTGGCCCATGCAGTTGAACATGTGGCATAAATTTCGTGTCTGACCTCTTCCAGACTGTTTGATAGGCACGTCGATCCACGAGTCTCATCGGGGGGGGGGGCGCCCGTGAGGGCGCGCCCCGTTGGTCCCGACAGGCCCGTAGGTCCTGTGGGTCCCGTTGGGCCCGACGAGCTGGGACTTGTGTAGCGGACCGTTCTCGGCTGAGAAGACCGATGCTAAGTCTAGCTTATGCGATCAAGTTTGATTCGATGGTAAGTATTTCCAAGGATTCCAAGGTGTCGTGTTGACTCTATTGCGTTGGTTGGACAGCTGCGATCAAAGCATTGTCCAAAGTTCCGGCCTCTTGACAAAAGTCGAGCGATTTTCTTGGGCACCGTGGATGTGGGCGTGCTGTGGGTCGAATCTTTTTGCCGATTCTATTCTCTCCAGTGTCACGCAACAATTGCGGTTTTGGCGGAACATTTCTGGTTGACAAAGCGTGCACGTGCAACGGTGACTTTCATCGCGGTGTGGTCAAACCGCATGGTCGGTGAGAGTGCTTCCGCAGTGTCCCTTGCCGTGTTTGCACAGGTTTGCCAGCAAAGATTGAGCAAGTTCCGTGTGCATTTTCAGTTTGTTCTGGTCTGTCCGTTCCCGTTTGGCAGAGTTAATAGTATCTGCCGGATGGCCGCGACGGATGCACAAACTGAGTTCGGTACACGAGGCGTCCTTTTGAGTTTTTTGAATTGTTCCTGCTTCTGGCGAGCTGTCATTGTGGTTTTAACAAACTATTCTTCGCGTCCGCAAAATGCTGAGAAGTCGGGTGGACGTAGTTTTAGGCGATTGATGCGATTGGAGTTTGGTGTTGGCTCTTGTGATTTTTGAGAAAACCATGTTCGAGAAAACCAAGCAAGTTAGCGCCATGCTGATGTTTCTCAAGGTTTGGCTGCAGGAGTGCCATTTGCCTTCGCTAAGGTGACGCACCTTCGGTCGCATGGTGTCCTCGGCATCTCGCAGGCCATTTTGGAATGAAATGGCGAGGAAGTTGCTGCAGCAAAGGCAATATATTTGTGCAAATGTCATGAACCAAGAAACGATTTCAAGTACAGTACTGTAACTGCATGCACTTTTGAGCAGAGGTGGCCTTGCAGCCAGAGCATGTTGCCATCATTCGCTTCAACGAAGAGAAGGATGTGTCAGCCACAGTGGACGGGGCCAGAAACGAGGTGAAAGTGGTGAAAAATCACGAGTAGAGTAGAGTTGTTGGTGCTAAGGTCCCAAAAGCAATTTCCAAGGCAGAGACGGCAGAGACTGAGTCAAATCTAGGAAGCGTTGGGATTGGACTGTGGCAGCCGAGTGCCTGCGAACCAGTGGTTCTTTCAAAGATATACGCCACAGTGCTGGAATGTGTTCAGTGCTTGGGGTGGAGATTTCATAGTTTGCATGTCAGCATGACAAGCTTGCATCTGTATTGCAACTGTAATAACGGTATACGTTTTTGTAACATGTTGAAATACTATGTTAGGCAGATATTGCCTTTGCCAAGTGGTAAACCAGGCCGTTGTTTGATTTGAGCGTCAGGCTCACAACACCGTGTTTAAGGCAGGCTCAGTTTTTGCGTTTGCCGTCTTGCTTTCAGTGACTGGAAGTTCACTTGCACTCATGAAGGGCCTGCTTCATCGCCTGTTGCTTGTGCAGGAGAAGAAGCTGACGCTTGAGCCACTCATGTCGCACTGGCCGGGAACTTAATTCAAAAAATGGGGCCTTTCAAGACATTGATTTTACCCCTAAGTGCATACACGGGTGATGATGACGATGACGATGACGATGACGACGACGACGACGAGGATGATGATGACGACGATGATGATGATGATGATGATAGCGTGCAATATGCATTGTGTGCAATATGCATTGCACGCCATATGATTTCCTTTTGACACGCTGTCCTCTATGCGTTTCGTGAAGGTTTGACATTGGTTTGTTCACATATCCAAGTCTAATGGCGTTTCGCCGTTTGGTCTCAAGTGCTTTTTGCTGGACTCTTTTTGTGGAATCTTCAAGCTTAGAACAAGATGGCCGCAATCGGAAAGCAGTACTACTGGGTGCTCGGGCTAACTGGTCTCGAATGGCATGAACTTGTGCCAGATGAGGTGTGCCCTTGGGGGAAAGCTTGATTGGGCTACCTTTTTGTATATGTATGTTGTTGTTGATCACAGGTTGAGAATTCAACCAAAGCGCACGGGCGCACTATTGATTCTGTCTCAAGCTATTGTACTCCCAAGTGCGTTGTTGCGATTTCATGTTTTTGGCTTCACTACATTGTGATTAGTTTTTTTTCAACAGTCGCTGCGAAACGGTGTCCCCAAGCAGTTTTGTGTCTAGGAGTGTAGACGATCATTGCTTGGTCATTTCATACTGTTTTTTGTTTTTTGTTGGTGACTAGTGCTAGGGCTCGAAGAGCACAAAGCGTGCGATTTCGGAGCCCCAGAACCCTCGTGGTTTGTTTGGTCGGCCGCGCCGCGCCTAGCGCCTCCGGGTTAGAGCCATAGGCAATCTTTCTGGTGGTGGACTGGTATACGACTGGTTGACACAATACCCCGTTCTCCAAACTGGCATCGAAAGCTGCGCAAGTTGAGATCGAGGTCAAGGGCACATCTACGTACTGCTGTGGCTAAGGGTGATTTTTCATCGGCCAAGTTCTGCAGAGCATTGTATCATCTTCGTCGACATCACTCTTGGACGGAGCAACACACCGAAGCTCTCAATAGAAGAGCCTCCTTCATGATGTCATAATGGGGTGGCAAGGCCGCCGGAAAAGGATCCAAGGGCAAAGGTCGCTCTTGGAACATATGGGGAACCCCTCCGAAAAGGAAGGGCGACAAGAAGAAGGACAAAGACAAAGAAGGAGACAAGCAGATCTTCCCTGGATACGACTCGCTAAGGTCATCATCGTCTTCGCAACCTTCTGTGGCGGATTTGAGGACAGCCTTGAAGGAAGCCATCAAGACAACCTCAGGATCAGATACATCGGAGGGGAGCCTAGTCAAGGTAGTCCAGCAGATCGTTGGGGAGGACGACGACAAGGAAGACTTGAAGAATCAGCAGAAGGACCTCAACCTGAGGAAGAAGCTGTTGGAAAAAAATCCAGGTTGAAGAAAGCCAAAATGGAAAAGACCAGGGCATGGACGCTCTACAAGGAAGAGCTCAAGAAGCACCACGATGCAGAGCAGGAGAAATACAAAAAGGACATGGATGGCATCGATTCAGAGATCCAGAAAGCCATGGACAAGATCGAAGAGCTGGATATCGATGCTGCTACCAGAGATGCGAAGGAGATGGAAGGCATGGATATGGATGCAGCTACCAACAGGGAGCTCAAGGAGCAGCTGCTCCACGCTCACAAGGAGCAATCCAATACTGCGAGAATGCTAGCTTTGCTTCAGACGCAGTTCAATGCCTATGTGGGGCAGGGAGCTCATGGGCCAATGCCATCCGAGCCCCGCATTGCAGCAAGCCCTTCAGACCTCAGGAAGCAGAGAATGAATGCGATCGAGAAGACTGGGCCGACTTATCCCTCACAGATTCCGACGTTCAAGCTGGACGATGTAAGGGAAAGGAGCCCCCGGAGATCCGTACCAGGTGGAGCAGACTCGCAAGAGCTGAACAAATTGGGCTAGCTAGCAGTGGTGGCCCAAGTGAATTCGAAACTATAGAGAATTGCTGCGATCATGTTTACACTGGCGCCTTTTTCAAGTGGATGACGGGTGACAGATTCAGCGGCATGGAAATATTCTTTCCACCTGCGTCTTGGGAGGCGCCTTGGTGGTATGCTTTGTATGGTAGCAGAAAAAAGAAGGTGTGGGAGCCGAACCTCCACCTTCGTAGAAAGGGGAGTGACTCTGGCGCTGTATTTGAAGAGCTGACAGGTGATTTTCCTTTCTCTATGATTCATTTTTTGAGTACTGATGAAGAGCTGACTGGAACAGGTGCATGCCATTTGATAGCTGCCATCGGCCATTTCTTCATCGCTGACTATTCCGACCCGTGCTTTTCATGGGTAGATTTGTGTCCCAGGTTTGATAGTGTTGCTATGAGCTTGGGTGATTTCATGGTCATGGAAGACGAGATAGTGTACAGTGCCGAGAACAGTCGCTGGCTGGAGCAGACATATGATGCTCCCACGATAGAAACCCAATAAGTCAGGCTCCTAGGAGTCTGTGGGATGCTCCTTGTCTTGCATTGTTTGGCCTTACATTTTTCCTTGCTGTGCCGAATTCAGCAACTCACTTTCGGTTGCAGCTTCAGTGGACCGGACAGGAGAGCTGAACTCAGGGAGACTGCCTGTATATCTCTTTTTGCCGGCCTAGTTGAGTCTATCACTATTGCCAACATGATGAATATGAATAACAGGAACGGGGGGGTGCAAATGGGACGGTCTCGGCCTTGCTGTTGTCCTTATTTGCCTTGCGGTCCTGATTTTAGCCTTTTGCAAGTCTTTCATCCGATTTCGAAGAGATTGCATAGGTTCTTCTGCTAGAGCAGGACAGGCCAGGAAGAAGGTCCGTACGAGCTATCGCAGGAAGTTTTCCTGGACCGGTTTTGTTTTATGCCTTAATCTTGTCAGTGCGCATGCCTGTGGTGAGATTCAGACTGTAACACAGCAGCTCAGTAACCATCGTCTCCAGTCTCAAGTGGATACTGACGCTGAAGGGAATATGATGCAGGATAATCAACCAGATCTGTCCTCAGACGGAATGTCCATGGTGCAACACAGTGCATGTGTGAATGACAAGGAACTTGTACAGATAGGAGGCGATACTGTTCTTTACCGCGAACGTGCGGGAGATACGAACACGCCCCAGGGTGATAGGCATCCTGTAGAAGCAGATAAGTCGTCTAGGTTAGGGTTTGATGGCCCTGGTATGCCAGGATTCGGGGGTTTCACATGTCACGAAGAGCTTCACGAGAATTGGGCCTTGATCCAGAATGTATCAGGATACCACGATGATGATGATTCCCCAATGGCAGATGACGAGGGAGAAGTGTGTGCCCTACCAGAGGCTAAACACCTTTTCGAGGCAGATAGCGCCTACCCTCCCAGTCCTGCCTCGGTCGCGGCCTGTTGTCCGTTGAAATCAGTGGGTCTCCGACAACCGGAAGCCACGTTGAGTTTTGGGCGATTTTGTCGACGTGCATGTACCAAACCATGGCAATGTTGAGCAGTCTTCGCAAGCAATTTTGAAAGCTAAGGATATAGATGAGGCCATTTTTGAAGGCAGTCCTCTGTCAGTCAAGGTTTGGTATGCGCCGCCAGACGGATGCAACGAGGTTGCCAGGGATACGATTATCCCGCCAGATCGATTAGGGAACATCCGCGAAGCTGTTTGCCAGATCTGGATTGATTTTGTGCCTCTACGTACATGTTCCTTTGAGCTTGCTAGGCCGCAGCCTGACCGACATACTTTTGGTAGTGCTTTTCACTTTGTTGTCTTTGAGACACATGGACCAACTGCCGTTTTGATTCGCCAGAGTGGGGGCCTCAGAGTTGATTTCTGTGCTTGTGCCCTTAGAATGTGGCACACGGTTAGAAGCGGATGTGGACTCGATCAACTTCATGCAGCTTACAGAATATCAGACAGCCGCCATCGCCAGCGCAAGATTTGCACTTGCGGTCGAGCATAGAAAAGCCCTACATGATACTGCGAATTTTGCTGTGCAAAACTTCGTTAAGCGCGATGAGCTCAGGAGGTGGACCCAAAGCCTTCCTTTCCATCTGGAAGAAGATCAAGTTGTCTTGGCGTTTGGAAGATGCATCCGACGGAGGAGGTAACTACGCAATGTGACTATCTTCACCTTAGGGATGGCAATTGGGCCAGAGATTTTCGCACATATTGGAGAACTTCTGAGATCTTCAAGACTCCGAGGTTGGCGGCAATTGAACCGCAACCACCAGCGAATATGCGTGCAGACTTGAGGAACATCCATATCATTGCTATGGAAAATCAGCAATCGGTACAAAACCAAGTCGTGCATCTTTTTGATGTCTGGGAAACAACTGATCCTGCTTTGGGTACAGGGCGGACCTTCTTAACACGGAGAGCCGCTAGACTGCCCAGAGACATTGAGGTGAAACAAATTCCAGCATGGCTTGGGGTGACGAATGTGGAGCAGTACACCCAGGTCTTTGCAACCTTTATGATTCGTGAGGCGCAGGAGCAAGCCGTCTTCCGAGAAAGACAGCGTCTTATGGTGCCTGATTTCTCCCTCATTGACCTTGTCACTTGTCCTATCCGGCAACGCCTGGAGTGTTCCGGCAACAGCGAAGCTGGAAGCAGGGATGTCTTTTTGGGAATTGAGGACGGATCCATTACCCAGGAATACATCCAAGTGGAACACAGGGACAACACTGCAACCCTGGACAAGTGGGAGGATGATATCAGTGGGCTGATGCAAAACCCATCTCGGGACAGGATGGCAGCAAAGATTGATGAGGAGAGATGCTTCGATCCAGTGCGGACGCCGATAAGACTGTACCGAGGGGCGGAATCAGCGTGGAGGCTTTGGAATCACTTTGTTAGGGATCGAGCGTGGTTCGGGCAAAATTTAGATGAAACCTCAGCCTGGATCCTGGTAGAAGGCAGTTTTATACAGTCAATTCCGGTCACCCTCTTTACATCCAGAAGAGGTAGTGTTACATGGAACGATCCTACTGCTCTGTGGAACAGCCTAGGAG